TAGCGTATAATAGTAGTTAAATATATAATTTACCTCCTCTTGTTGTTTTACTTCTGTTAATGTCCAATTTTCATTGACTTTTTGAATATTTATTTGATTATTAAAACGACGCAATTCAGTTCGCTTCTCTTGAATGGGTAAGCCAATTTCATTATGTATTCTCCAAATCAAGAAATCACAGCTTGTTACCAAACGTGATTTGTATATGCTGAAAAACTGATCCAAGACGTCAGTTGACGAGGGCTGCACATGTTTGTTTGAACCTGCTGAATCTACAATAACGTCACGACTACGAAGACTATGTTTTTTTATATCTGTTGCCAAAGACTGTACATGTTTGTTTGAATTTGCTGAGTCTACAATGATATTGCAACTGCGATTTATATCAGTTGCCAAAAACTGCACATGTTTGCTTGGACTTGTTGACTCTACAATGGCACGACGATTACGTTTTTTAGGAATATTAGTAAGATCGCTTAATGTGCTAGAGGCAAACATTATGTGATGGGAGAAGTGTAGCTCTAAAAGAGTTATTAAAAAGATTAAAGTAAAATTCGCGTTAGCATGTTCTTTTATATGCCAACGCGACACGAAAATAACGCGACACGAAATAGTTATTAAAAAGGTTAGAGTAAAATTCGCGTTAGCATGTTTTTTTATATGTCAATGGGCATAGTGGAAGTTCGTTTTGATTGGTTATTAATATACGCGTCAAGTTTCGGTTCAAATGCCCGTAACATATTTCTGATTGGTTAATTCTATCCAATAAATCTCAACGTTAATGTCCATGTCGTGACTAAAGTTGGCATCCGACTAAAGTTGGACTGGACTAAAATTAGCCCCTGAAATTAGATCATCCTGCACGCATTAGTTAGCTGTTTTAGGCCCAAAATGTCGTTGTTTATATTATTTCAATACGCATTTGTTTTTTTTTAAAAAAAATACTGTAAATTAGTGTTAGGGTTAGTGTTAAGGTAAGAGTAGAGCTTTAGAAAAAAAATATACTAAAATTTCGCAAGAAATTTTTTTGTTAGAACGAAGTAGTTTCATAAAACGATTTTAATTTTAATGTTACACACAGATCGTTCGTGTAAATTCGACGTGATGAACACTGATTGGATAAAAAGCGTGATTTCCAAATCGGGCGGTGGGATCAAAGCAAAATTATAGTTTATAAATATTTTTGATTTTGCATTAAACAATTAATATTAAATAATTTTCTGTATAAAAGATTTTAATTAAATTTCAATAAAGACAGAGACATGGTCTCACCATTAATATTCAAAAAAAAAATTAATATTAAATAATATCCTTATAAGTAATGTTAGATATTTATTAATGTTAATTTTTCAGTTAAAATTTACTATGCAGACACTGCACAATTTGGAAACTTTTCTATGTGGTAAATAAAAAAAAATTATAAGCAACTCTAACCCTAACCCTAACCCTATTTACAAAAGTGCTCACTACTTACAAAATGTTATTTTTTTTCTGTGTGGCATTCACACATCTGTTTAAAAGAAAATATATGCAAAATTGTGCTGTACACAGTCTGCACAGCAAAAATAATCACTAGTACTGTTACTGGCAAAATCATGTGCACAAAGAATTTAAGAATCATGTAGAACTTTGCACGTTGGAAGCATGAAATCATTATACAAGCACTGTTGTACTGCAGAGCCCTGGGACCTGAAATTCCACCACAATGATTATATGCAAAAAATCTGCTCAAGCCAAAATCTCTATAATAAAGCATTAAAATGATGATCATATGAAAACCAAGGCCTATCAGTAATCCCATTGAAGCAAGAGATACTTATCCGATTCAGTATGACAGCTGTCAAAGTAATATTATCTTGTCGAGTAAGGTGTGTAGCTATGAACAATGAAAGCACATGAATCAGTAGAAGAGTTAATGAGAGAATGAGTAAACTGACGGGTAAAGAACAATGATGGTACAAAAGTCTTCATTTGATTTATCTTCTTTTTGCTTTTTTTTCATTTTGTCAAATATTTCAATAAAAATGGCTGTGAGAAAGGGGTTGGAATTAGATAAAAAAGGGTTATATAGTATGAATACAATGATGATTCAATGAAAAGAAATGAGAAAAGCATTCGATCTTGATCTTTTCCTTGCTTTGTAAAATTGTTATAAATAAGAGGTTGAATTTCTTTTGTTCAAGATAGCAATACAAACATTCATTTAAAACTGCTCTGAATTACTTACCTAATGATCTTTAGCAGATGTCTTTGACCTGTACCAAGTCAAAATCCACCTCATCTCTCTACTGAGTGTTGTTAGTTGACCTTGTTCTATTCTAAACATCAAATCATTATAGGTCCTTTCTCTTGTTGGAGGTGTAATTTAGATCAATTCGCAAACCAATATTCAGTGATGATCTATGGTGGCTTAGCCAATTTAATATAGTTGGTTAATAAAACTTTTTATTCTTATGATTTTTCAAACTTACCAATTAAATACATTTTAAAAAAAAAAACAATGAAAAGAAATTTCAAATATCTATATTCTATTAAAAATAATCATAGTATTTAAAAAGTTTTATTAGTGATGAAGTCTATAAGAGATTTAAGGTAATTAAACCCTTAATTCGAATATATAAAAGCATTTTGGTGTTAAAATAGAATGTTACTAAGATTTGATATTTTGTGAAGAATTACAAAACAATCATGAATAGTGTTTATGCAAAGAACTAAGTAAAAGATTAAGTTAACTATATTTTATATTCTTTAAGTTATAAAAAATTACATTATACAGTTGAACCTTTCTAAATACAACTTTTATAAATACAATACCTCTCTAAATCTATGTTTTTGTCTTGGCTATATGAAATCATTAATGCTAAATATATGTTCTATACTCTGCAAATACATGTTTATTTAAAAGATTTTTATGCTGTATTATACTAACCTCTTTAAATACACATAGCCAATCAGAAGTTAGTATTTAAGTTTGTTATTCAAGTTTGCAGATCAAATTTAAAAGCTGCTATTTAATTGGCTCTCTCTAAATATAAATCTCTCTAAATGCATATTTTTGACTGTTCTGTATATATTGCATTTATAGAGATTTGACTGTAATGAGTTATCATTTTTATTAATTTATATTTTATTAAATTTTAATCATAGTTATTTTAAGATACAATATTAATAATAATGCTTTATTAGTTAGATTAAATAGATATAATTACAGCTATTTTCAAAATAGTTGAAAGTGTAAAAAAAATCTTTTATATGAATACGCAAATATTTGAATATCTAATTAGTTTAAACTAATTAGATATCCAAATATTCAAATATTTGTAAAAAAAATTTTTTTTATATTTAACTATTTTGAAAACTGTTATAATTTGTAAAAAAATAATCTAGAATTTTTAATAAAATAAATTTAAACATAAGTTAAGATTAGATTATTAATGATATTTTATGAACCTGGTATTGAAATTTAACAATATTTATAACATTTAATTCATCTCAATAAGATGATTTGAATGATATAAAAATTATTAATTTCTAGTCATTAAATTGTAAGAAAATTTTTAATTTAGTAAAATAAAATTTAAAGATTATTATAAATTAATTAAAATTATAATAAGTATTAGTTAATGATCTTCCTAACATTTTTTATTAGTGCTCCAAGGCAGATTAAGATACTCCTTTTTTATATTTTTTGTGTTTTTTACTTTTTTTTATTTTTGTCTTGTTGGGCTAATCTAGATAAATCAAAATCCTACAACTTATTTAGTTGTTAGTTATATAAACACATCTGGCTTTAGATAGATTTACTTATTAGTATAAGTAATACAAACTCAAAAAAAAAATTTAATATAAAATAAATTGTTAATAAAGATAAAAACTTAAAGTTAGAACACTAAAGTTAGTTGCTATAAAAATAAATATTTATCTCAAAAAAATACTGTTTCTAATAGATTGTCAGTACTGTTCCTAATAGAATGAAAAAAAATCTGATTTTTATATCATTCCTAATAGGGTTTTAAAAAAAGGCTTCAAAATACTATAATAGTAACTAAAAACGGATTTAAACACTCAATTGCTTTGCTTATATATTAGGCTAATCAAAAATAATCATATTTTATATTCTTTAATTAGCTAATTTCCCTTTTTGAATTTGTATCACTCTCACAAATAAGTGTATATACTTTAGACAACTCCAAATATAAATATACATATAGACAGATATAGATTTTCTAATTATATTTTTGATATATTAGTATAATCAGTGTTGTTACCTAGCTACTTGGCTAGCCAATGGCCATGGCCATTAGCTAAAATAGACAATAAAATTTTTTGGCCGATTTGGCCAAAATTATATATTACTTATAAATTACCAATTGGCTCTATTGATAATTAGTTTTATTATAAATCGATATACAAGTTAATCAAACTATAGTTGCATTTTTATTTGTTACTGTTATTACTCCTAATCATCAGACATGATTTTATTTAAATAAGTCACCAGTAAATAAATATTTAAGATATTACTATAGCAAACTTAATTCAAGAAAAAATAATATTACATACTAATTCACATAAGCACTACTATGAAAAAATCTATTATAGCACTTTCAAGAACACTAATCATATATTTGATTCAATATATAATGTTACAATTTTCAGGAGTTAAGTTCGTCACACTTAAATATTTACTTACAGCACTCATTGTTTCTCAGACTTTTATAAAATTGCTTTTTTTATTTAAAAAAAATTTTTTAGTTTTTTATTGCTTTACCAAACCCAATTTAACCTTATATATATATTTAAAAATAAACTTAAATAGATTTGGAGAATAAGATATATTTGCATTGTGAAATATAATTTATTAATTTTATTATATGTAACTTTATTTCAGCTAAATTTATATTTATTTAGAAGTTAAACCCTAAACACATATTATATATAAAAAATATTTATTTATCATTAAAAGGTGCTCCCAAATCATCAACAAAAATTTCATAAATCTTCTACTTCGCTTCCATATCCATTGCGGGATGTGTTTGAGTATATAAATAATCATCTATATCCATATTTATATTGTAATTCAAATCAATACTTTCATTCTCTCATGCTTCACTTTCTTGATCTAATAGATTTTTTTACTTATTAATAAAACTATTAAAATTCATAACACACTTATTCACATTAATTTTATCCTCTAATTCTTCTAATTCTTTATTCAAATTTTCTCTAGACATTTGTACTTCATTATTAGAAGAAATTGTTTCTTCAGACTCATCATCTGAATCAAGCAATTCATTAGAGCTTGTATTTTCAAGTTGATGTTGGTAGTTGATTAAAGCTTGAAGCTTGCTCATTTTTAATACTTTCAAAAACTATATTGTAAACTTATAAATTAAATTAAATTATTTTGTAAATAATAATAACAATGTACTTACTTGCAATCAGCACCATCTATTAGTATGAATAAAACCTATGCATGATTATAACTGTTCTACTGAAGCAGCGTTTATGCAGATTTCAAATACCCTTTGAGCTACAAAAGCAAGTTCTTTTGCAATTGGTGCAGCCCAAAACCAGAATTTAAAAACATCTTTTTCAAAATGATCAATTGATGGTTTATTAAAAGGATATATAACTTTCCGAAAATTTTCATATTCATATAAAATTGAGCAGGATTTTTTATGCAAACAAGCTTCATAATAATTTTTTTTTTTTTTTTTCCAATTATCGGCAGCCTCGCCGGTATCTTTATTAGATCAAAGCATATATATACATATATT